ACCCAGCGCCAGGCCAGTCCTCTGAACAGAGCGGCCCCTGCGGTGTCACCCCTGCTGGCTCTCTCCCGTTCTCCCTGAGCCCTGCTCACTCTCCCGCCCATTCTCCCGCCCCCCTCCCTGTCCCCGCTCCCCCAGTCTGGGCAGGCCTCTCACTGCCTCCAGGACCGGGAAGACATGCAGGCCTTGCACCCTGACCGACTTGGCTCAGTGTATGGTGCTGGCCTGCGGCCTGAAGGTCCCAGTTCCATTCCGGTCAAGGGCACAGGTCGGGGTTGCGGGCTCAGTCCCCAGAGGGAGGCGTGCAGGAGGCAGCCGATGAATGATTCTCTCTTATCATTGACATTTCAATCTCTCCCTCCCTCTCTCTTCTTCTCTGAAGTCAATAAAAGAGAAATTAAAAAAAAGGAAGGAAGGAAGGAAGGAAGGAAGGAAGGAAGGAAGGAAGGAAGGAAGGAAACGAAGGCTTTGCCTGGTTGATGACCACAGACTGGTAGCAGCTGGGGCTCTGGGCTAGCCCAAGGCCAAAGCCGTACGGAGCACCAGCCTAGGAGGTAGGTTTGTCCGTCTTCAGGGCGGCCCCACGTCCACCCGGGTCTCCGAGGGGAAGGCTGCAGGGTTTCTTAGGTGGCGGACAGAAGTGGAAACTGAGGCCCAGAGGAAAGCAGCGCGCTTGCCCAAGGTCCCTCGGCTGCTTGACCCTCACCACGGGCCAGGCCGGCTAAAAATAACTCCTGTCCCCGAGGGGAGGATGGAATCCGGGCTGGGGGCGGACATCTGCTCCTCCCGCCGGCTGGGGGTGCTGTGCGCAGGAGCCCCGTGGACGGGGCAGATGACGCAGAGCGGGGTGGGGAGAGGGGGGCCTGGCCTCGCACTGCTCCAGCAGCTTGGCCTTCCTGCCAGGGCAGGGTGATAAGATGAGTTTGCAGTGTGGCTCTGAGGAGGAGGCAGGCGGGGGGTGGGGGGGAAGTGGGGGAGAAGGGGGGGCTTGAGGGGAGGAAGGGAAAAGGAAGGAGGGAGAAGGTGAGAGACACCTGAATGCAGCCTGCAGAGGGGTCACAACTCTGCCAGAATAGGGACCACCCTGGCTCATTTGCAAAAACTGAAGCTTGAGGCGCGGGGTGGCTACCTGCGATCCCAGAGGCCCAGGCGGCCCGGCCAGGATTCCCTCCCGGCTTGCCTGTCCTGCTCTCCAAGTGAATCCACTTTCCTAAAATGTGACACCAAGATACACCCCACCACCACCACCACCACCACACACACACTAGCAGGAGAGAGGCCTGCTTAAAACACAGAGTCGACTGTGGCTCAAGGGTTGAGCCTCGACCTCTGAGCCAGGAGGTCACGGTTCAATTCCTGGTCAGGGCGCATGCCTGGGTTGCGGGCTCCATCCCCAGTGTGGGGGGTGCAGGAGGCAGCCGATCCATGATTCTCTCTCATCATGGATGCTTCTCTCTCCCTCTCCCGTCCTCTCTGAAATCAATAAACATTTATTTAAAAAATAAAAATAAAAATAAAAACCCCAGCCGAAACCGGTTTGGCTCAGTGGAAGAGCGTCAGTCTGGAGACTGAGAGGTCCTGGGTTCAATTCCGGTCAAGGGCATGTGCCTTGGTTGTGGGCACATCCCCTGCAGGGGGTGTGCAAGAGGCAGCTGATCGATGTTTCTCTCTCAGCGATGTTTCTAGCTTTCTATCTCTCTCCCTTCCTCTCTGTAAAATATCAATAAAATATATATTTTTTAAAAACACACAAAAAAAACAAAAACGCAGATTCCTGGGGCAGAACCGAAGGGGTGTGGCAGGAGAGCACACTGTCCCCCGGTGCCCTGTGTGTGTGTGAGGGGCTGTGAGGGGTGTGAGAGCCTGGCCCGGGAAGCTCTGTGGCTTTCAGGACCCCCAGTCTGACCTCCCAGCCCCGAGGCCCCTGCAGCCAGCTGTGGGGCTGAGTCACACCCCCCCAGCGATGGGGACTGCCTGGGCCTTTCCCACTCCCGCCTCACCCACCCCCTCCCAGGCCCAGCAGCCCCCCTTCCTGGCAGCATACCCTTCTGGAAGCTTCCGGCAGCGGGGATCCCCCTCCTTCAGAGCGTGTCGGATACAGAGCCTCCTCCTCCATCTGGACTTGTTTCCAACATCCTATTCCTTTGTTTCCCAACTGCTCCCTCTCTCAAACAGGAAACTCCCGGAGGGCTGGTTTAAAGCTTAAACAATGAGCCTGTGAAATCGTGACTTCACCTGACCCTCCTGCCAGCCACGGTGGGTGCCGCCCGCTCTCCAACGAGGAAACCCAGCCCGAGGGGTGGTGGTGGCCCTAGGCCAGAGCCGGGCTGGGACCCAGGGGCAGAACAGGGGTCATGACCCTACAGCCCAGATGGCGAAAGGGAGGCCCAGAGGTGGGCAAAGCATTCAACACCGTCTTTATCCTGCACTCACTGCTAGCTGTGCTTGGGTCTGCGTCCAAATGTATCTTTTTTAATTGTTTCTTAAAAATATATTTGTATTGATTTCAGAGAGGGAGAGAGAGAGAGAGAGAGAGAGGAGATCAATGATGAGAGAGAAATCACTGATGGGCTGCCTCCTGCATGTCACACACTGGGAATCAACTTTGCAACTCCGGGAGTTGCCTTCCTGGGAAATGAACTCTGAACCCCTGTCCATAGGTCGACACTCAACCACTGAGCCACACTGGCTGGGCCTGAGCCCAAATGCTGACCTTTCCCCTTGATTCCCCCCAGCGGATGGGCACTGCCCAGGGCCCCACAGCAGGAGGGGTCAGAGCTGGGCCTTGAACTCCCAGGCCAAAGCCTTCATCCTGGGCCCTGCACTGGTCCCAGTGTCACTCCGGACCCGGAGGCCTTCTCTGCGACTCAGAGAGAGGGAACGAGCACCCGGCCCACGTGGCCACTGTCGCTCTGGCTCTCTCCCTCTTGTGAATGCCTCACTGAGCACTGAGTAACCTGCAGAGCCCTTTCCAGAGAGTGGAGGGCCCCTCTGAGTTTAGCTGGGTAGGGCGTGGAGCAAGGTGGCTGGGCTGGCATTCCTGCAGGCGTGGTCTGCGGGACACTCAAAGGACGCACAGCCAGCTTTGGGCTGGAGTCCGAGCCACCCAGCTGGTGCCCAGGGTAGCCAGCAAGGGACCTGGGACAGCCCAAATGAAAAATAAAAATAACTAATATGAGCCGAAACTGGTTTGGCTCAGTGGATGGAGTGTCGGCCTGCAGACTGGAGGGTCCCGGGTTCAATTCCCGTCAAGGGCATGTACCTTGGTTGCGGGCACATCCCCAGTAGGAGGTGTGCAAGAGGCAGCTGATGGATGATTCTCTCTTATCAATGTTTCTAACTCTCTATCCCTCTTTTTTCCTCTCTGTAAAAAAAAAAAATCAATAAAATATATATTTTTAAAAAACCTATTATGTGTCAAACCCTAATTATGTGTCAGGCCCTGTGCTTCCACCCCCACTCCGCACCCCTACCCCAGGTCTCAGGGCTGAGGAGTGTGCGGGTTCCATCCAGCCCTGTTCCTTCTCAGCATCAGGTTAAGCTCCTTCATCTCGGCCCAGAAAGCGCCACAGCGGGGCCTCCTTCCTCCTTCTGCTGCTCCCACTGCGGGCCCCCTCTCCCCCTGTCCCTTTTGCACATCACCCCGAGGACTCCTGCAACCTTGAGCAATCCAGCCCCACCTCCACCGGGAAGCCCTCGCGCCCATCTCGAAAGCCAGCTGGGTGGCGTGGCTTTTTTCTGCTCCAGACTCTGGTCCTGAACTCCGCGTTTCCGCTCCCTCCTCTGTCCCAGTTGTCCCCAGAGACCCTTGTCCCCCCCCACACACCCCTCCCCTCTCGGCCCCCGCACGGCCGCTCTGGGGAGGCGGGATGCAGCGCGGGGCAGGGTAGGGGTGAGGAGTGCGTGTGCAGGATGACGTCACCCGCCCGCCCCCGGGCCTCTCCCCCTGCTCCCCGCCCACCCGGTCCTGGGAGCCCGGCGCCCGCCGCCCGGGCCGGGCTCGGAGCGCAGCGCGCCTGCGCGGGGAGCGGCCCACGGCGCCTGCGCGCTCGCTCCCGCCCTATATCAGGCCGGCGCCGGCCGCCGCGGACAAGGACACGCTCCCCGCGCCCGCCGTCCCCGCCGCCGCCGCCGCCCGCACCGCGACCGTGACCGTGACCGGCGCAGGTGAGTGCGGCCCGCGCTCCGGCCCCGCGGCCTCAGCCCGCGCCGCCCGGCGCCCGGCCCCCTCCCCCACCCGTCACCTGCCGCCGGGGTCAGGGCGCCCCCAGGCCTTCGGCCATGACCGCCGCCGGCCTCCCGCCAACTGGCCGCCGCCCGCCCCTGCCCTCCGCCCTCCGCCCTCCGCCCTCCGCCTTCGCCCTCTGCCCTCTGCCCTCCGCCCTCCGCCTTCGCCCTCTGCCCTCTGCCCTCTGCCCTCCGCCCACCGCCCTCCGCCCTCGCCCTCTGTCCTCCGCCCTCGCCCTCCGCGCGCCCCTGCCCGCGGTGCCCAGCTCCCCGGACATCCCGCCCCGGGGCCCAGGACCCCGCTGGGGGCCGCCTCGGGCTTGGGAGGCCGGGAGGAGCCCTTGCTGCCCCGGCGGTGGACGGCCCTTCCCGGGCCTCCTCTGGCTCCGGGGTGTGTGCTAAGCGTCCCGTGGGCCCTGCATCCTCCTCCGGAGCCGCCCACCTCCCAAACCTGCTCCGCACTCGCCCCTCCTGTCCCTCCCCTGGGGATCCATCAGCGTTTGCTCCACTCGGGAGAGCCGCCTCGGCTGCTTTTGCGTGGAGCTGGGCCCGGGTGTCTGGGGGACCTGGGCAGAGGGCCCCACTCCTTAGTGAGCTCCGTCTCCGTGCTGTGCTTAGACATCGTGGAGTGAGGCTTCTCAGCACCCCGGGCCCTCGCTGTGAGCTACGGCGACACCCGAACCCAGTGACCTTGCCCGGGTGTCTGCCCGATGATTAACAAGTGTCCGTGTCACTCAACCCCCTGCAGGATCAGTGCACCTCCCGGACCGACCGCCATGGAGACTGTCGTGCGCCGCTGCCCGTTCCTGTCCCGCGTGCCTCAGGCCTTCCTGCAGAAGGCGGGCAAGTCGCTGCTGTTCTACGCCCAGAACTGCCCCAAGATGATGGAAGTGGGGGCCACGATGGCCCCCCGGGCCCTGTCAGGGTCTGCAGCGCACTGCCAGCAGGTCAAGGAAACCCCACCCGCCAGTGAGAGTGAGTGTCAGCCACCCAGTGGGGTTCAGTCCACAGGGGTCACTGGGTGCCGGGCCCAGTTCTTCGGGGGGATTATCTCACGTCAGCGACGCCCTAACCTCCCAGGGGGGCGCTGGGGGTTTCCGTCTCCAAAGGGGGAGCGGCCACTTGGTCGGTTTCTGGGCGCAGGACTCGGGCACTTCCGTGGAGAGTGGGCATGTTCTGACCCGGCTGTCCCGTCATGAAAGATTTGGCCCTTTGGCCTTTCCTTTTTTTTTAAGTGAATAGACTATTTTTTAGAGTTGTTTTAGGTTCAAAGCAAAATTGAGAAGAAGCTTTTTTTGGCTTTTAAACTTATGATTCTTTTTCTCCTAATTTGCTTTTAAATGTTATTTGTCATCGTGGTAAAATGTACGTTACAAAATGTACCATCTCTATCAGTTTTTAGGGAATTTTAGAAATCATTATTTTAGGTTGAAAGGTTTTTATCATCCATCGATCTCAAGTGCCCAGTTGCGCGGCGCTGAGGGCATTCCCGTTGTTGTGCAATCCCCGCTTCAGAGCCTTTCCATCTTGCAAAACTGGACTCTGTCCCATTAAGGCTAACTCCGCCCCAGCCCCCAGCCAGTGCCGGTCCCCTTTCTGCCTGCGAGCTGCTCCAGGAACCACACGCGAGGGGAGTCCTAGTTTGTTAAAGCAGGATTGTCTAACACGCGTATTTTTACTCTGTACACGATGTAGACACGTCTGTGTTGAGTAAAGCGGTCAGAGGTGGCTCAGTGTGGTCCGGCTGTGCCAGGAGGGGGTGGGCGTTTCCGATGCCCCTTACCCTCAGACGAGCCTGCCTCCCAGGCTGTGGGGGTTCTGGATGGGCATGTGGAGGGCACGTTACTAAGTGGGGAGGATCCCGTCCTTTGTAGGATTGCTTTTCCTCTTGGCCTCTGCTCAGGAGTTATTTTTTCACTGAGCTGTCAGAGCCCTCGGTGCCATTGTGTCCCCAGAGGAGGGCAATGGGCGTGTGGCATGTGGCCTGTCCACTGGGTAGGCTGCCCTGAGCCATCACAGTGACGTCCACAAACTCCTAGTTTAGGCAGAAGTTTGTAGTGAGCAGAGCAGAGCAAACAAGCACCTACTGAAGAGGAAAACTTTTTTTTTTTTAATCAATCTTTATTGTTCATATTATTACAAAGGTTCCTCATTTCTTCCCCCCTCCACCAGGTTCCCACCCCACCCTCCTCTCCCTTCCCCTCCCCCATTGTCCTCGTCCATAGGTGCACAGTTTATGTTCAGTAGGAGGAGAACGTTTTTAAACCTGTGCATAGGGGACAAGATTATACCCAAATGTCTTAGTGACTATGCTTTTTGCTTTTTTTTTTTTTTTTTTTAATCAATTTTTTAAATTGGCTTCAGAGAGATGAAGGAGGGAGTGAGGGAGGAAAAGAGAGGGCGGGAGAGACATCGATCAGTTGCCTCCCACACATGGCCTGACCAAGGATCAGTCCCGCAGCCTGGGTGTGAGCCCTGAATGTGATGACGCTCTAACCACCCAGCCACACCCGCCAGGCTACAAAGGTTCAGTTTGAATGAGAGAACCCTTCATTTTCCAGGCTTCCTGCCCTGACGCTGATGAGTGAAGCGAATTTCAAAGCGGCTTTTTAAACTTTTCTTTACGGAAGATTTCAGTGAAAAGGGTATTGTGACACACTGCTCCGGCTGTGAGAGAGGCTAGCCTGTGACTCAGGGATATTCCAGAGAGATGAAGAAAGACTTCTCTAGAAGGAAGGTGGATGACTCTGCTCAGGGGAAGAGGGGAGTCGTTAACTAGAAGCCCAGGTGTGACGTCGGTGAAGTTTGATGAGAATGTAGAGGTGTGTGCGGTGACACAGCCGTGACTTGAGCTCTGGCAGGCAGTGACCTCATGACTTTACTCGTAGCCTGATCTCCTTTGTTAAGAGGAAAATCAATTGTGTGTCTATCAAGAAACAGCAGGAATCTGTTTGGAAAATATTAGCAAAGCCTGGCCAGTGTGGTTCAGTGGTTGAGCCTCAATCAATGAATCAGGAGGTCAGGGTTCAATTCCCAGTCAGGGCATGTGTCCTGGTTGTTGGCTCAATCCCCAGTAGGGGGTGTGCAGGAGGAAGCCAGTCAATGATACTCTCTCATCATTGATGTTTCTCTCTCTCCCTCTTCTTTCCTCTCTGAAATCAATAAATAAAAATACTTTTTTAAAAAAAATATATATTTGATTTTTTCCAGAGAGGAAGGGAGAGGGATAGTTAGAAACATCAATGAGAGAGAATCATCAATCAGCTGCCTCCTGCACATTCCCTACTGGGGATGTGCCCACAACCAAGGTACATGCCCTTGACTGGAATCGAACCTGGGACCTTTCAGTCCGCAGGCCAACACTCTGTCCACTGAGCCAAACTGTTTAGGGCTAAAAACACTTTTTTGAAGAAAATATTAGCAGAGAAAAAATTGTATGAACACTTCCAGGGACCTTTGAGAGAGTGACCTCAAGAAGCACGCCGCATGGATTTGGGGCAGATTGACTAGAAACGGCCCAACCCGAGAGCCCTGGGTCTGAAACCAGAGAGCAGCGTGTGGGAGGGAATGTTTCCCGGAGGCAGCAGAGCCGCCGCTCCAGCCGCACCTGGTGGCCGTGGATTTGTGCCTGGCGGCGGCGGCGGCAGTGATGGTGGTGGTGGTGGTAGAGGTAGTGGCACCAAGTTGTCTGGGCCGTCAGAGGAAGAACAGGTGGCTTTCTGGTGAGGCGAGCAAACAGTTCTGGGGCTTCAGCTCTTCTGTTCCCCCCACAGAGGACAAAACTGCCAAGGCCGAGGCGCCGCTGGCTCCCGGTGGCTCCCCACCGGCTGCAGATGGCACGCAGCTCCCCCCTGGACACCCGGCCCCGAGCCAGGGCACTGCCAGCAAATGCCCCTTCCTGGCAGCGCAGATGGGCCAGCAGGGCAGCAGCGTGTTCCGCAAGGCCAGCCTGGAGCTGCAGGAGGACGTGCAGGAGATGCAGGCTGTGAGGACAGGTAACCGCGGCCGCGCCGGGAAGCGGGAGGCCCCGGTGGCCCTCTGGGACCCTCGGGCTCGCTTACGAGCTGCCGGTGGGAGGATTGTGTTGCCACCGTCCCCTGCAGAGCCAGGAGGAGGCTACGGGAAGAGGGTTGCGTTCCACAACATGGGGCTTTCTATCGGGCGGGGAGTCCAGCTTTTACAGGAACCCCTGCTTGCTGAGCGCACCCCAGCTCCCCTGTTTGTCCCCATCGTCTGGGGAGTAAAGGCACAAACTGTCACTGCAGTTCGTGATGGTCTGGGCTCCTGAGCTGTGTCTCCCAATGGTTAGCGAGTGGCAACCTGCATCCCAGAGTGGCTTCTCCGTGGAGCACCAAGGTCCCGGGGAGCGTCCCTAGCAGAAATGCTGCTCTGGGCTGGGACTGTTTTCTGCAGCGGGAACAGAGGAGGGCGAGGGGGGGACCGCCGGCCAGCTGGAGAGCCTGGGCCTGGAACATCGGCTGAGGCTGGCTGGTGGCTCTGGCCAGTCAGGGTGCGAGGGGCAGCAAAGCTTCACACTCCCAGTTACACCTGTGTCCCGATGGGCTCTGCCCGCCGAGAGACAGCATGCCCGGAGGTATTGGACCGGAATGCCATGTGGGTCCCCTTTGCCTCTGTCACTTACAGAGGTTGCCCAGGCCTCAGCGAACCCCAGTGTGCTCAGCGTAAAGACGGGTGGCGGGGAGCCGAGCGGGTTGCTGAAGAACTTCCAGGACCTGATGCGAAAGCAAAGGCCGGAAAGGGTGTCCCACCTGCTCCAGGATAACCTGCCCAAGTGTAAGTCTCGCTCTGCCTGGCGATCCCACTCAGCGCCACATCGCACGGGAGGTGTGGCTAACGCCGGGGCCCTGCTTGAAGCCACAGGTGCTCTTGGCCATAGTGAGTACCAGCCTGCTGGTACCCACCTTCCCTCAGCGCTGCATCCACACTGGCACGGTGGCAGGCATGGCCGGGCAGTCTCCACTTGCCCATATGAACGCATCATGCATTTGCCCAGCACCCCCTAGTGGCTGAGCTGGGGTGGGACCCAGGTCTTTCAGCCAAGCCCAGACGTGCTTCCTAACCACCAGCTCTCCTGTCTCTCGTTGCGTCTTCAGCTGTTTCCACGTTCCAGTATGATCGTTTCTTCGAGAAGAAAATTGATGAGAAAAAGAATGACCACACCTACCGAGTTTTCAAAACTGTGAACCGGCGGGCACAGCTCTTCCCCATGGCGGACGACTACTCGGGCTCCGTCAGCAAGAAGCAGGTGTCGGTCTGGTGCAGCAACGACTACCTGGGCATGAGCCGCCACCCCCGGGTGTGCGGGGCGGTCATGTGAGTACACGGCGCCCAGCCCCGGGCAGCGCTGGGCGGGACGCTGATGATGGGACTGGCTCCTGTGGGGGTGGGGCCGCAGCTGGAAGGGACTGCTCTCGGCTGTAAACGGCTTCGGGGACTCTCAGCCTGACGGGCAAGCAGTTGGGGCCCCTGGGTGTGAAGTTAGAGTGTATGGGGTCAGCTACACCTGTGTCCGCTTCCTGCTGCATCACAAACACGTCCAAAAGGCGTCGATCTGAGCGGGTCCTTCGGGGGGTGCTCTGGCCAGCGGCCCGGGGAGAGCTGGGAGCCCCTCGAGGTCAGTGACTGTCCGTCCTGACGCCGCGTGGCCGGCGTGCAGAGGCTGAGGGAGCCCTCGGGGGCCTCTCTGCAGCCTGATGCCCAGGCACAGCCAGAAGCCTCACCGATGCCGGGGGCTCAGACTGTGGGCGGACGCTGTGGCTCAGGAGGCAGCTCCCCTTTGGGACCGGCTCCCTCCGCACCCAGAGACGCTGCTGGTGGAGAGTTCGGGGCCCGGTTCACAGCGAGGGGTCCCAGGACAGGAGTTTGTCTCACAGGCGGGCTCACGTGCTGTTGCCTGTCCGCAGGGACACCCTGAAGCAGCACGGGGCCGGCGCCGGCGGCACGAGGAACATCTCCGGGACCAGCAGGTTCCACGTGGACCTGGAGCGGGAGCTGGCCGACCTCCACGGGAAGGACGCGGCCCTCCTGTTCTCCTCCTGCTTCGTGGCCAACGACTCCACCCTCTTCACGCTGGCGAGGATGCTGCCAGGTGGGGCGCTGGTGCTGGGGGTCCGGGAGCCCCGTCCCTGCTTTCTGTGGTCTCCGTTTCCCGGGGTCAGCTGCAGTCCACAATTACTACATGGAAAGTTCCAGAAATAAGTGATTCACAGGTTTCCCCCTGGGTGTAACTGAGTTGTGTGACGAAACCTCAGAGTCCTGTCTGTCCCTCCTGGCCTCTGGCCAGGTCTCCTGGCCACACGGCTCCCGCCGCCAGTCACTCGGGGCCGTCTGTCCTCAGATTCGCTGTCACGATCAGGCGGTGCTGGTTCGGTCCGGCGCCCGCTGCGGGCCTGGCACGTGGCCCCTCGGGGGCGGGTTGGCGTGAGAGGGATGTTGACAACAGAGAGGCTTAACCAGCACCAGCTGAGAGGAGTGGCGTGTCTGGGCGTTGGTTGTGGAATTGGGTGTGAGTGCTGGCACACGCACACGCTAAGCTCCAGTGAACGTGACCCCAGCGAAGGGTCAGCGCCAGGGCTGGTCCGTGGCTGTTGCTCCAGTGCATTGTGGGTTCTCACGGTGGCTCCCCTGTGACGGTGTGGACGGGGCAGCGAGGTAAAGCAGGCTGGCCGCCTGCTGCGGGGCCCTGCACCCCTGGCCTTCTCGGAGGAGAAGCCGGGCGGGACTCTGCCGGAGGAAGCAGGCTCCAGCGGCTTTTCCCTGTGGGCTGAGCCGCGTTCTCGCTGCCTAGGAAAGAGGTGGTCTCCAGTGCAGATGGCAGTAACAAACAGCGTTTGTCTGTCTGTCTGTCAGGCTGTGAGATCTACTCCGACTCTGGGAACCACGCCTCCATGATCCAGGGCATCCGGAACAGCCGGGTGCCCAAGTACGTCTTCCGCCACAACGACGTGGGCCACCTGCGGGAGCTGCTGCAGCGCTCCGACCCCCAGGCCCCCAAGATCGTCGCCTTCGAGACCGTGCACTCCATGGACGGTGGGTCTGCGCTGGACTCTTCTTTCTCTCCTTTCCTTTCCTTTTTTTTTTAACTCTTCAAACGTGTCTACTTGGGCTTTGCAGTTTCTTTCCATTGACTTGCCTGCTAGGGTTTGTCATCGTGGACATGGGTAGGTTTGGGTAAGTTAGAGGTGGTTCTGCGTTGGCTTTTTCCCGCTCTGAGACCCCAGTGCGCCTGGGAACCGGGGAGTGTTGGCGATAACCCCGGCACGTGCCGTTCAGTCTGCTGACTCACAGGACCGCCGTCTGAGGGTGCTCTGTCCCCGCAGGCGCGGTGTGTCCGCTGGAGGAGCTGTGTGACGTGGCCCACGAGTTCGGGGCCATCACCTTCGTGGATGAGGTCCACGCGGTGGGGCTGTACGGGGCCCGCGGCGGCGGGATTGGCGACCGGGATGGAGTCATGCCAAAGATGGACATCATTTCCGGAACGCTCGGTACGTGCACTGTGCCTGCTGCCCGCGCTGGGCACCAGGTGCTGGCGAGCAGGGCTGGCTGGCCTGGCGGGGCTGGGGTGGCGCAGGAAGCTGGGCCACTTTGGGGCGAGTGTTTGTTTTCTGTGAGGGGCTGGCGCAGCCCAGCAGAACCCCTCGGAGCCAGAGGCCTGGCTCCCAGGATCTAAGTGACTCTCCTGGCCGGACACAGGAGCGTCTGAGCCCGAGCAGACAGCTGTGGCTCTGGCCTCAGCCGCAGCCCTCACCGTGCGCCTCCGACTGTGCCCGGGTCAGAACCAGAATTCCATGCCGGTGTCCAGGCAATGTGGGACCAGACGTTCGGTGCTGTGGTGCTGAGCTCTGTGCCACGTGCCTGTTAGTGGGGACTAGTCACCCCACAGCTCTCCCTCTCGAGAGGCGGGATCTCCCGGGCCAGACGTGTAAGTCTGTCTGCACAGCTCCACGCCGCCTGCGTCTCAGCGTCCTGGGGGCACAGTGGGAACAGCCCTCCCCAGTTCTGTGGAGAAGGGGTCGTGTGGACACAGAGGAATCCTCTTTGCCTACGAGGCATGAGGAGATGGGATGGAAATCGGTAAACTTGAGACTTCACGTCAGTAAGGCCATTGGAGGCCCAAGCAGCAGTTGGTGAAGGAAGGGCGCGTCCTGCAGCTCCCTGTAGGCGCCAGGACCCCGTGACCCCGGCAGACCCTGTGCAGGCAGCACGGCCAGCGGGCCCTCCCGGAGGAAGCCCTGTTCCCGGCCGGAGCCCGCTGCCCGGAGCCCTCAGCCCGCTGCCCGGAGCCCGCAGCCGCAGCTCTTCCTTCAGGCGGAGCTGGGAAGCCCGGGAAGAAGTTTCCCAGGAAGAGCTTAAGCGCCCGCCCTGCAGGGGGTCCCAGAGGAATGTTAATCCCTGAGCGGAGGGAAGGGTGAGGCTCGGCACCGGAGCCGATCCTGAAGCCTGAGAACAGGTTACATAAAGAGACTTAGCAGGGTGAAAGATGAGGTGGCCCCAGTCCCCCTCCCCGCCCCCCCCAGTTCTGAGTGTTCGTGTTTGTCTGGTAATTAATGCTGATGGTCAGTTCTGTGATTACTGAAGCAGGAAGTCATACGTTCCCACCAAAACAGAGCGCCTTTGTTGGGTGACAGCCCCACCTCCAGGTGCTGCTCACAGGGGGAGGTGGGCCCAGAGCAGGTGCGGGTGGGAGGGCGCCGGCGGCCAGGCGCCAGGGTGGCACGGGCCGGGCAGGACCCTTGCCCGGTTTCCTCAGTTCCCCCTCGGGGAGGTGGGGGACAGCCTCTCCTCAGTCTTAGGTCCAGTGAAGGAGGTAGAAGCGGGCGCGGAGGCCTAACAGCCTGTGTCTCCGCCTCCCGCAGGCAAGGCGTTCGGCTGCGTGGGCGGCTACATCGCCAGCACCAGCGCCCTGATCGACACGGTGCGCTCCTACGCGGCCGGCTTCATCTTCACCACCTCGCTGCCGCCCATGCTGCTGGCCGGGGCGCTGGAGTCCGTGCGCGTCCTCAAGAGCGCCGAGGGCCAGGCGCTGCGCCGCCAGCACCAGCGCAACGTCAAGCTGCTGCGCCAGATGCTCATGGACGCCGGGCTGCCCGTGGTGCACTGCCCCAGCCACATCATCCCCGTGCGGGTGGGTATGGCCGGGCCGGCGGGGGGGGGGGGGGCGCGGATGGCGGCCGGGCTGCCCGTGGTGCACTGCCCCAGCCACATCATCCCCGTGCGGGTGGGTATGGCCGGGCCGGCTGTGCCCCCATGCTGGCACATTGGGCGGGGCGGGGCGGGCGGATGATGGCCGGGCTGGGGCGGCGTCCCTTCTGATCCGGAGCCAAAGCTCACTAGCTTTGCCGTGCGGCCTCCTGTCAGGTCCTTTCCTCCACAAACAGCGCCGCCCTGGTGCCGCCGGGAGAGTGTGGGTAACACAGCGGCGCCCGCGCTGCCTTCACCCGGTGTGCACGTCCGTGGGGCCAGCTGGCGGCACCCGGGGTAGCTGCTGCCCGCCCACCTGGGAGCCCACCGAGAGCACCCTCGTGTGGGTCTGTGGGGTCGGGCAGGCACTGCCTCTCCGCTGGCCGAGCTGCTCAAACCTGCGCCCATGGTGTGGGCTCAGAAGCTCGCTAAGGGGGTCCGTCTGCTCTGACTTTACCTTTTTTTAAATTTTTTTTTTTTTTAATTGATTTTCCACAGAGAGGAAGGGAGAGGGATAGAGAACCAGAAACGTCGATGAGAGAGAAACATCGACCAGCTGCCTCCTGCACACCCTCCACCGGGGATGCGCCCGCAACCAATGTACATGTCCCTGACCGGAATCGAACCTGGAACCTCTCGGTCCGCAGACCGACCCTCTATCCACTGAGCCAAACCGGTCTCGGCCTGACTTTACCCTTTGTTCACGCAGGTGGCAGATGCTGCTAAAAATACCCAGGTCTGTGACGAGCTCATGAGCAGACACAACATCTACGTGCAAGCCATCAACTACCCCACGGTGCCCCGGGGGGAGGAGCTGCTGCGGATCGCCCCCACCCCGCACCACACCCCCCAGATGATGGACTACTTCGTGGGTGAGTGCCCAGGTGCCCGAGGCGGAAAGACACAGAGGCTGCAGAGTGGTCTCGGGAGCTCTGAGCGAGCCTGCTGGTCCCCAGTGCCCCTGCATCTTGGTGGTGGAGTTCCCGAGGGCAGAGGCCTCAAGGCGGGGCCTGTCCTGGCTCCGAGTCCGCCTCGCTCACTCTCCTTCCCAAGGGGGTGTGGTCCTAGCCCCCGCTCACACCTGCCGCCCCCCCCCCCCCCACACACACACACTCTGGTAAGAGCGGGGGATTCCATCCTGCTACTCGGGTGCAGTTTAAAGCCTACGAATTGCTTATTTCTGGGATTTCCCACACAATGTTTTCAGGCCACGTTTGGCCACAGGTGACAAACCGGAAAGTGAAACTGAGGATAAGGGAGGGAGGGTGCTGTGTGCAGTCACCTCTGTGTGATTCCAGAACTTCCATCACCCCAGAGAGAAACCCACAGCCACCAGCGGCCACTCGCCCCTTCTCTCCCCACACGGGGGACCCGCCCCCTGCCTGTCCGGCCTTCCTGGGCTGGAGTCCTCCTAACCCTTCCCTGTCTGCTCGCAGGGAGTCTGCTGGCCACGTGGAAGCGCGTGGGGCTGGACCTGAAGCCACATTCCTCGGCCGAGTGCAACTTCTGCCGGAGGCCGCTGCACTTCGAGGCGATGAGCGAGCGGGAGCGATCCTACTTCTCCGGCCTGAGCAAGCTGGTCTCCGCGCAGGCCTGAGCCCCCCCACACGGCGCCAGTGTCTGTGGACTAAGTTATGTTAGTTTTAATCCATAGTGAAGCTCCGTCAGGAAATAAATTGTTTACGGGCTGGGTCCTCCTGTGTTTGGTACAGACTCCACGTCGTTTTCTTTTCCTTGAAGCTGGGTGTGAAGCGTGTGTGTGGCTGAGGTTTATAAAACGTGTGAAAACACATCCTCTGGCAACGGCTCCAAACCTGTGGCCACCTGCCTCCGTCCCTGGAGCCCGGTGCTTCTGGAAGCCGCTGCGTGGCGGCTCTCGGCTTCAGCCCCACGGCCCTGACGGTCACCGCCGGCCCTGACGGTCACCGCCGGCCCTGACAGTCGCTGCCGTGGCCTTGACGGTCGCCGCCGGCCCTGACGGTCGCCGCCGTGGCCCTGATAGTCACCAATGGCCCTGACGGTCACCGCCGGCCCTGACGGTCGCCGCTGTGGCCCTGATGGTCACCGCCGGCCCTGACGGTCGCCGCTGTGGCCCTGACGGTCACCACCGTGGCCCTGACGATCACCAACGGCCCTGACGGTCACCGTGGCATTCCTCTCAGTTTCTATTCTCCGATCTGAATCGGTGGCAACGCCGCCCAGCGACCTGCTTCCCTTTCCCTTCCCGCCGCTGCCTCGGCCCACTTCCCTCCAGCGGGGCCTCCAGCCCCTGCCCCTGCCATGCCCGTGCTCGCCAGCACATGGGAGGGCAGTGCTCTGCACCTGACCCTCCCCTCCTGTCCCGGCCCACTGCTGCCTGCACATTTCCAGGCCCAGCTCTGTCCCCATGGATTTTCCCCTTCCTGCTCAGCCCCAGGGCCTGCACCAGACTGTCACTGCCTCAGAGCACCCCCGCTCCTGCCTGGGGGTGAGTGGAGGAAGACGTGCACACAGACCGCAGACTGCCCACAGCCGTGAGACACGGCACTGCCAGGCGCGGCTCCCGCGGCGGCACGAGTGTTTGTGCTAACCGAGTCGGACGGGAGCCGCAGGGTTTCACTTCCCTGTGGGACTGAAGCACCAGGGAACCGCTCCCTCCACAGCACGGCGGTTGCCAGCGGAGTGGGGGCAAGATGGAGGCTCGGATCCAGGTGACCAGGAGCCGGGACTTGGGGTGGAGAGCGTGCACAGGGGTTCACAGTGCACACCCGCAGGTTATGTGCCAACCACCGTCACCTGCCAGTTTAATAAGACGGGTCACCCCCTTCCAGCAGCAGCCCTGCCCTTGTCTGCTGGTCCCCATCTTTGGTCCCTGTCCCCACAGCTCCCCTCCCGCGGGGCCTCGCTGCCGGGGCCGGTCCGTCTGCCTGCCACGGGCTCTCCCAGGGGTGTTGGAGGGGGCTGCCCTCGGCCTTTCTCTCCCCTGGCTTTCCAGGCCACGGCTTCCGGCTCTCCTCCTCCTCCCCCTGCACTTAACCCTGCCTTCCTCCCTCCCACCCCACACCTGCGGCCACCGGGTCAGAGGGCACCCGGGCTGCCACTCCTCCCCCGCCTGTCATCCGCCCGTCACTCTGACCGCCTGTGGGAGCTGGTCCCTCCCGTGAGGCTCGCCAGGCCCGCCTCCCACATACATCGGGGCAGGCCGCTCCCCGCCACCCCTCGGCCCGGCTGCCACGGCTCACGCACCATCGTCCCAACACCTGCCCGGCCCGGCCCCCCGCGCTGCCTGAGAGCTTGGTGGTGTGGTGGTGGTGGTGGCGGTGATTTCGGAATCCTCACCGAGGATATTTCCCCATTGGTTTTTAGGGAGAGTGGAAGGGAGAGGGAAAGACAGAGCCAGACCTGGGTGTGAGAGAAACGCATCGATTGGCTGCCTCCTACACGAGCCCCCACCTGGACTTGGTCGTGGAAGAGCCTGCAACCGAGGGACGTGCCCTTGACCAGAACTGAACCCAGGACCTTTGGGTCTGCAGGCCGACGCTCCATCCACTGAGCCACACCGCGGGGGCCCGAGAGCTTCGAGTCTGAGTCACATCAGGCCCCTCCCACAGAGCACGGTCCTGGGTCCCGGCCGCACTCGGCGGCACGCCTCCTCACGCAGCTGACGGTGATGTGGGTCCCGGCCGCATCGCCCTCCCCCCATTTCTTCCTCTGCGTCCCCTGTGGGCGGCACCCTGAGCCTCAGACACCCCCGGAGGCCTCTGGCGCCCGGACCTGGGCAGCCAGTTTCTCTGTCCACGTTCCCGCCCTGGGCCATGGTGGGGCTGCCTCTCCCACACGCAACAGGGGCCTGAGGACACCTGGCCCGGCCCCGTCCTGGGGAAGCTCCTCGTGGGCTCGCGCCGTCCCCGGCCTCCAGCCACCACGCTGCCCTCCCAGCACGCTCACCGCCACAGGGCCCCCCGGCGGCCCGCACGGAGCAGGCAGAGCCGGCGTGTGCGAGGGAGCGGAGGGGCAGCCTCGGCCCACGTGCTGTGACAGCACAGACGCAGCCACAGACACGAGTCCTCACCGTTCTGCAGGCTGGGGTCCCGGGCCAGGCGCCGGCCCATCGCTCCCGGGAGCTCTCCCTCCAGCCGCCTCTGCTCGGGGTGAATCCACACGGCTCTCCTCCCGCGTGGGCGGCGGCCACCTGTCTCTTCTCGCGAGGCCCTGGGTCCCAGCTGCAGGCCGTTACCTGTTCCTCCCGCGGCTGATGCCATAGGCCAGGCCAGTGGTTGGCAAACTGCGGCTCGCGAGCCACATGCGGCTCTTTGGCCTCTTGAGTTTTTAAGCAAAGGCCAGCTTAGGAGTACCCTCAGTAAGTTAGTAACCATGTACCTACCTGCACAGTTAAAGTTTAAAAAATGTGGCTCTCAGAAGAAATGCCAATCACTGTCCTGTTGCTATTTGGCTCTGTGGACGCATGAGCTTGCCAACCACGGGGCTAGGTGATGCCACAGGCCAGGTGGTGCCATGCCAGGAACCCACGGTGGCGTCCAGCCTACTTTCCCGGGAGGAACAGGGGGGCTGGGCATAGCCCAACACTTCCTGCTCGTGGCTCCAGGAAGGA